CCATGGCCCTCTGACCAGAGGGGAGATAGCTGGAACTTCTGGAGAATAGTAAGACACCTGTGTTTTGACTATTCTTCTAAATTGTCAGGGAGAAAGATGATACCCATAAGGCAGGGCCCTCATGGTCCATGGTCGAGTTCTGGAGCTGCCATACCTGCAGACTCCCTGGTATATGGGATTCTGCATTTATTTATGGTTTAAACTGGATTGTTACTTGCCACCAGGAGCATCTTAAGGGACCTAGATACCTTTCCCAGATGGGAACACTGGACCAGTTGGGCCCATACCCCCTAGGAGAAGTCAGACACACGTGAATTTAGGGATCTCAAGCCTGGCCCATTTGGGCCCAAGAAGTCATTGCCTGCTGCATTCAGATAACCCTTTTAAAATTCTTCTCTGCTAGGTTAGGCATATGTGTATGTACATAGTTACAAGTAGGCATTGAGTTCAATCATTATTACTTAGAATGAATCTAATCTTCAAACTTATAGTTCCATGTAGGAGTGTTGACTGAGCCTGGATCCCTATGCCTCCAAACTTCAAACCCTTTGTCTTTCACTTCTAGGAAGAACCAATTTCAATAGAGACAGGAAACCTCTATGTAGAAGAGGACAATGAAAGAAATTGCCGCTTAAACATCACCCACATTTCTTCTTGCCTGACACAGCTCTCTGTCAGGGTGTGTATGTAGGGTGGCTCAAGAAACAACAAGAATGACTCTCCCTGAAGGCCACTGGCCACCACTTTCTGTTCAATCAGCGTTCCCCTGACATATTGCTTACCAAGGCCACTTTCAGCCAGAACTCTGCCAGAGCATCTGACTGGTTGCTGCACCTGCTGTTTGCCAACAGTAGAATTGAACAGAAATGCTGTTCTCAGAAGCCCCGTGACAAGGTCACTAACTCCTTACACTTGGTATACCCTGCACATAGGTCCCAATGGGACTGCAAGAATCTAGGTCCTGCCTCACAACCTGTGGGAGCTTGCTGGTTGGAGGGAGGACATAGCAATCCCATTGCCTCCATATGCTTGGAAGACCTTGCCAAGGAAGAAGACCTTGAAATAGGGGCAGAAGACCTACTGGAGGGCTAGTTTCTGTGTGGACATTAGGGGACAGGAATGAGTTCTAGAGGGCTCCTTTTCTAATAAAGTTTGTGCTGTGAGCTTGAAGCCAGGGGTACAGCAGGGAGCCCTGACCCTCTTCTGTAGAATTAAAAAGGGAATCCCTCACACTGAGACCTGGAGGGGGGCATTCTCATTTTTTAATATCCCTCCCCAAAGTATGTGAGGTGATTCTTGACACCCAAGATCACCAGGAAAGGTCCCTATCCTTGGGAAGATTTTTAAGGAGGTTGTGTTTGGAGGACTTGAGATGACCTTGAATTGTTCTCATTCTTCCTCCAAACCCTGGGCTGTTGTAGATCAGGTTTGCAACTCCAGTGACTTCAGGAGCCAGACAGGTAACAATCATGAGCAAGAAGCAGGCATAGGACTATCGGAAATGGTGTGTCAAGTGAAAGAGCTCAAGCCAGAACTAGAGATGTTCAACATCAGATGAAAATTAACACTCTCCACATGCACTAAATAAGTGCTCAAGCTGAGTTGGCTGGCTTGGTCTTTAGTTTTTGTCTTTGGGACCTATGCTGAATAAGACTTGAGGCAAGAACAACAGGGCATTTCTGTGTCCCACATTTTACCCGAAGGAGGAAAAGGTAAAGGCAAACACATCAGTGGGAGGGGCAACATTTCCCAAAAGAGAAGAGATTTAAAGCATGAAGGTGTGAAGAAATAGGAAGTGACATCTATCTATCTATCTATCTATCTATCTATCTATCTACCTACCTACCTACCTACCTACCTATTTATAGCAGCCAACAGGTGATCAGGAAGCTGAGACTTGTCTATACTCTCCTCCCCTGAAACAAAGGGGAGACATTTTGATGCATGGGGGCCTGATCTATCCACAGCACCCTGTGGGATGTCATTGTGGGGACTAGTAGATGGTCTGGTTAAAGGTGGTGATCTACTTCCACTGATCCTGGAGGAGGAGGGGCATGCTCTGAGCTCTGTCTGGATGCAGTCCTTGGAAGCTGAGGGGGATACAGGAAGAAACAGCTGCCAAGAGTGTCAAAGAAACAAATTTTCTTTCCAAAAAATATCCTAGGGCAAGCATCCCAAAGTGTGTCAGATAATTCAGTTACATGGATCTGTCTGTCAGAAGCCGTCATCTCCTTGCAAAGGAAAAAAGTTATTCCTTCTCAATTCCCCTTTCATCCTTCTGATTATATCAAATAAAAGATTTCTGCTCCTGCTAGTCTGTCTCAACACTTCAGTAACACTTGCTAATCAGCTTCAACCTCAGTGCCTTTTGCAGGCACTAGTAGCTAGAATCTGATGATGTTATTTTCTTTTCATTTTATTTATGCGGGGCGGGGGCAGTTATTATTTATTTATGGCAAGATGGTGAGATATTGGCTTTTCCAGGGGTGGTAGTGATTTGAAGTGTCCTTTTAAATTTTTTAAAAATATTTTTTAGTTATACATCTACCCAATATCTTTATTTTGTTTATTTATTTTTATGTGGTGCTGAGGATTGAACCCAGTGCCCCACATATGTGAGGCAAGCGCTCTGCCACTGAGCCACAACCCCAGCCCCCTTTTAAATTTTAAGTAAATTATTGAGTGCTACATAAAGGCATAATGGTAGTGGTGGTTGGAAAATATGGCAATGACCAAAAGCATGGCAGAGAAATAAGTGAGGTGGTGGAATGTGACCCTTGAAGTAGGTAAAGTTGCTGGTGGGGTTTCATTCTTCTTTTGAGGATAGAAGCAAGGACAATCACAGGAGAACATATCACTATATTCCAGGACAGCACCTGGCTAAACCCAACTCTGGGTCCGCTGCCTTCAAGATTCAACTCATGCCACTTCTTTGGGGATGTCCTCTGAGATGCCTGACTCTGGGGTCATCTCTCTTCTTTCTTTTCCTCTCTCTCTCTCTCTCTTTTAATACTGGGGATTAAATGCAGGGATACTCTCTCAATCAACTACATCCCCATCCCTTATTATTTTTTTAATCAGAGGCAGTTCCCTCTAAATTGTCCAGGCTGGCCTGGAACTTGCAATCCTCCTGCCTCAAAAAATATGGGTTGAGTCATCTCTCTTCTCATACACAGGGATTCCAGCTCCAACTTTGCCTGGAACCAGCTGGGTCATTAGAGGTCACAAGAGCCATGCCTATGGGGTAGGAGTATCAGGGGAGGGGATCTTCAACAAACTGCAGGATAAGTGCCCTATTTAATGGTGGCTAAGCAAAAATGTGGGCCCAGTGTGTGGCCACACCTTGCAATTTCTCAAGAAAAGTTAGAAATCTAAATTTTTATGTGACATCTCACCATTTTTTAAAATGTTGACAACAAATGTCTGCTGTGCCTCAGGGTCAGATCTAGCTTCAGGCATCCTCAGGTGGAAGAGAGAGAGAGAGAGAGAGAGAGAGAGAGAGAGAGAGAGAGAGAGAGGGAGAGAGAGAAAGAAGCTTCTAGGTGAAGAGGGCTATTAAGCTGCAGTGCCCTCACATCTAGGTCCCAGAAATGACAGAACCAAGGGTACCAAATCACAGCAACAGCCAGTTGTGCAAGTCGTGTTTCCCCATAAGACTGGGTCCTCCTGGGGCTGGGGTTGTGGCTCACTGGTAGAGCGTACGCCTCGCATGTGCGAAGCCCTGGGTTCAATCCTCAGCGCCACATAAAAATAAATAAATAAATAAATAAATAAGTTGTGTCCAACTACAACTAAAAAATAAATATTTTTTTAAAAAGATTGGGTCCTCCTGGCCAGCAGAGAGGGTACTGAATCACCTGTATGTCCTCTGCCCCTGCCCAAGGCCAAGGCCAAAACCCTGGTCACACAGGGCTGGGGCAGAGTGAATGAGAAGCTGGAATAGACAGGTGTCTACTGTCTGGGAAAATGAAGCAGAAGTCGGGGATCACATTGCCCAGATGTTCCACCAGACACATTCCTGAGGAGAGTATCAAGGAACAACTTGGGGAGGTGTCACTGTGCAGAGGGATAGCATTTCTGATAGGACAGTGATTCTAGTAAATGGGAACACCAGGACCTTTCTGGAGAGGAGGGATTCCAGTTGGCAAAGGGCGCTGACAGCATACTTGCCCAGGATGAACTGAGACGCCCTTGGATGCTCATCTGGAAAGGTGGGCAGAATGCTGACAGGCCATTTCAGGAGGGGACTGGGGAATACACAGACCCAATGGGGGCAGTTAAGGGTAGAAACCTGTGCTCTAGGAGGGAAGGCCAAGTCTGACAGGAAGAAGCTGTGATCAGAGGTTGCAATAGAGGGATGGAAAGACCGATGGAAGGCGAAGGGACAGAAAGGTGCGAACTGCGGGAACCTTGTCTTTCACAGTAAGGGCAAAAGTTGATATTTGGGGGATCTTGGGCCTCGATCTGGGCATCAGGCCTGACTCAGGCTCCTGGACCCCGTAATCAGCATCCCTTCCTCTTCCATTCCCGTGTCCTGTCCTGCCCTGGGTTCCAGAAAGGTGAAACGGCCCATAAAGTCTCAGGGCTGGCTGGTGGAATCCAGGCGCCTCGAGGGCTCCCTAGGTGGATGCTCTGCCCATGCCACTCCTCCGAGGTGGTGCGCCGCGAGGGCGTGGGGCGCGCAGAGGGTGGCCGGCAGCAGGACTACTTCAGCCCGACCCGCAGCGCTTCTCTGCCGCCGCCTCGGGGTGTCTCTGCTTCTCTGTGAGCCGAGAACCGCGGCGGCGGCGGCGGCGCAAGGAGGGGAGCGGGCGGCGGCGGCCGCGGCGGCGGCGGCGGCGGCCGCGCCAAGAAGCGCCGGGTCACCGCAGGCTGAGGCGCCCGCCGTCCCCGCCCTCCCCCTCGCTCTCCTTCTCCCTCCCTCCCGCCTCCCTCACTCGCTCGCTCCTTCGCTCTCCCCGCCTTCCCTCCACGCTCCCCCGCCCTCTCCTCCGCGCCTCGCCTCCTCCGCCCCGCGCCCTGCGGTGCTGCAGCTGCGGGCGGCTCCAGCTGCCCCCAGATGTGGGCTGGGCGGCGCGCGGGGAACTTTCGCGCCGGCTGTGAGTGCGGGGCCCCGGCTGCGGTCCGGCTGCCATGGATCCGCCGGCGGGAGCCGCTCGCCGCCTGCTCTGCCCCGCGCTGCTGCTGCTGCTGCTGCTTCTCCTGCTGCTGCCGCCGCCGCCCGCAAACGCCGGACTCGCCGCTGCCGCCGACCCCCCAGGTAGGTGCGGCCGAGCCCCCACGCCCAGCAATCCGAGTCCGCCCGGCTCCGCCCCGCGTGCCCCGCCGCCCCCTCCCCAGGCGTCGTCCAGCTAGACTTGGGCAAACTCCGCGCGCCCCGCCCGGGGCCAAGTTGGCCAACTTCGGGGCCGCGTTGGTCGCGCAGGGGGCGCCCAGCGGTGCAACCGGGTGCCTTGGGCCACGGGGAGCCTCGGAGCACTCGCGGCTTCGGAGATGCGGAGCATGGGCTTGGAGGGACGGGAAAGCCCCGCGGTAGAGAGCGCAGAGCTAGCTCCAGCGGGTCCAGGGGAGCCAGGGCGAGGCGGCGCCGGTGCTCGCTCGCGTCCGGGGACGCTCGGGAGGAGCCGGTGCTGAGCGCACCGCCTTGGGCCCTGGGGATTGGTTGAGGCGCCCCAGAGGGGATCCCCGGAGACTCGTGGGACCCTGTTACACTCCTCCCTGTCCTTGGACGCGCGGGAAGAGGGGGCTGGCAGCGGGCTACCGTGGAGCTGGACTCAGAGGAAGGCCGCCCGTACTCGGGGAAGCTGTTTCGGAGGCTAGCGGTGAGGCTAATTGATCAGCAGAGGCAGCCGAAGGGTCGAGGCGCACGGGTAGGGGACCCACCGAGAATGTCTTCCGATCAGCCCCATGTCCTGCCAAGGACGGTAGGTTCAAGGGGCAGGGGACGCCCCGATGGGGTCGTCACCCCACGAACCGCGAGGTACCGGCGGAGCCCCAGCCCGGAAAAGGACAGGGGACAGATCTCTTAGCTGGCATGACCCTCGAGGGGGATGGCTGGGTGGCGGCGTGGCTCCGGAGTGGTGGAGCTGTTAACGCCCCTTCCCGTTTGCTAGAAAGCCGGGAGGTGCAGGCTAGCTTCTGGGGGCTTTGTGGTGAAATGCCCCATCCCTTCGCATTGAGGCGAGGGCTAGGGGATGCAGGGTTCGGCCGCCGCCAGGGAGTTCTCGTCCAGTCTAACGTCCCTTCCCGTTGCAGGTGGGCCCCTGGGGCACGGAGCGGAGCGCTTCCTGGCGGTGCCGGTGCGCACTGACGCCCAGGGACGCTTGGTGTCCCACGTGGTGTCGGCGGCGACGACCGGAGTCGGGGTACGAGCTCGCAGGGCCGCCCCTGTCCAAACCTCGGGCTTCCCAGGAGGCAATGAGGAAGACCCTAGCGACCGCTTGTTCTACAATGTCACGGTCTTTGGCCGAGACCTGCACCTGCGGCTGCGGCCCAATGCCCGCCTCGTGGCTCCCGGGGCTACTGTGGAGTGGCAGGGTGAGACGGGTGCAACCCGAGTGGAACCCCTGCTTGGGACCTGCCTGTACGTTGGCGACGTGGCCGGCTTAGCTAAAGCCTCCTCAGTGGCGCTCAGTAACTGCGATGGACTGGTGAGTAGTGTCTTGCTCCTTTCAGTTTTCCGCCCTTGCTTGGGTTTTGGAAACTGGTTACTGGGAATCTCCTGGGAGTGCAAGTCCTGCGCTGAGAATCTTCTCTGGGGTTGGCTGAAGGGCAAGTTGTATTGATTAGTTTGAAAGGGGGCTCATTTATGCAAAGCTGTGTGTGTGTGGGTCTCCCCAAAGCCCTTACCAAGTAGTAGAGTGTGCATTTCCCTTAAGTCTACCTGCACCTCTGTGTCTTGCATCCAGATAGATTGATACATGTTTGTGTATCTCAGTGAGTGTGTGCATTCACACATGTGTTTTGGAATGTCAGTACTTTTTTCTAGGTGTGTACCTGTGTGAATATGTGAATGTGCCATTGTCTCTCGTACATATTCATATGAGGGGTTTGTGCTCATGGTTGTGTCAGGGCATCTGTTGAGTGTATGCCTGTGCATCTTAGCATGTGTGATATGTGTGTGGTAGGCATGTGGTTTGGCAGTCCTCTGTGTATCCAGAGGATATCAGCCAGGGAGCAGGCATTGGTGTTGAAATACCCTGTTAGTCTTCTGCCCCTTGACTGACCTGGAGCCACTGAGTTTTATACTGTGGTTTCCTGATGAACTCTAGTTGGTGATTTCAAAAGTCATTTTTCTCTATTTAGAGCCAAGGGGAGAATTTGGAAATGAAGGTTCTAGTGCCCAAGGACTGCTTGGTCTTTTGGGGACAATCCCTGAAGGGTAGGAGATAGGCTAGGGGAGGGCTCCTTTTAGGACTGCTGTGCCACTCAGTATGGCTGGGAAGTTCACTTGCTTCCAGGGGCCCAGAGGAAGAAAGCCTGGATCAATGCTCAGGCAAGAGACTGACATTGGCGGTGCTGTCTGGCTGCTGGGGGCCTGGCACATGGCAGAAGCCACTGCAGTTTTCTATTTTGGATTTGGTGTGTGGTGGTCAGGTTGACTGTGCTGGCCAGACATCTGAAGCCGTCCCAGTCCCACCGTGGGTTCTGTTCTAATTGCTGCTCAGGGCACTCCTGCTCCAAGTGAGTGGCCACTCTCCTAGCCCTGCTGGCCTCTGAGCACACCCATCTGCAGGCAGCTCAGGCTGGTCCTGCTGTCTGCAGAACCTGCAATTATACCAGAGCCCCACAACCACTGGTGTTCTTTTTATGGACACACAGGAAACATCACTTGTTGCTTTGGAAAATCACTGCCTTTGGTTGGATTTAGTTAGAACCCTGGCATATTGTAAACAACTATAAATGTCCTTGGAGGAACTGGGTTCAAATAGGGCAGTTCTTTATAGTCTCTGAGGATGTCCTGGGCCTCATAGGTATATTTCCTTTTATGCTGTGGGTGAATTTCCTAAAAAATGAAAGGAAATCATTGCTGGGGACTTGGGGTGAAGATGTGGGACAGAGTTGACTTGGATGTAGTCTACTGGTGGATCAATTCTGGGTAATATTTATTTCCCAATGGAGAGCATTTCAGTGGTTTTGGTGATGGGTTGCCACTGTGTCATTCATTCACCTGTGCATTTGATGATTCATTTGTCATGTCAGCACCTTATAATGTATTTACTGGTCAGAGAAGTGGCAGGCCTGATACCTATTAAGAAGCTGACAGGCTGAGGGGCACTCTGGTCAGGGCTTTGAGAGTATGCTTTTGGGGGCTATTTGGATGGGGTCTTGTAGAACAAATTGCCAGCTGGAAAAGGCACAGATTGGCAGCTGGTCCGAGAGGGGAGTATGTGCAGAGGCACCAGGTGTGAATTGGCCTGGGAAGGACAGGCATGCTGAAATGTCTCAGGTGTTAGACCTACACAGTCAGAGGTACAAGACAGTGTTAGAAAGAATACTGGGTCCTGCCAGAGTAACTTTGAATGCTGCCGGTGAATAATGGCCTTGAGACAGTGGGTCAGCATCATTAGTTCTTTTCTTCCTTCAATATGTGTGTGTGTGTGTGTGTGTGTGTGTGTGTGTATCTGTTCTGATTTTGTGTCAATTAATTTTTTTAACCCTTTAGGTCCTTCTGTGCCTCTGTGATAGGTCCATTCACGGAGGACCTTTTTTTTTTTTTAAATACACTTTGTACCTCTGGTCCTTCCATTGACCCTATAGGGGAGGTAGCCTAGTCCTTGGTTCACAGATGGAGCACTAGGGCTCTGAGAGGTTGAGTAACTTGTCCTAGGCCACACAGCCAGTGATGGCGGGAGTCTGACCTGGATCTGTCTGACCCCTTCTGCCACAGTGCTCCCAAATATGGGTTGGTGAAAGATGCTAAGATACAATAAAAGGAGGAATCAATTTCTGGGCACTCCCTCTCACTGGGCCTAACTGACCAAGCAACTATTGACTTTCACCACTGCTTTACATAGAGCTCCCTCCTCTGCTGCGGGGACTCTTCCTTGATAGGTATTTAAATACACCAAAGTAGGTGAGTCAGGTTGTACTGATCTTGTTAACATGCCAATTGGATTCCAGTTCCTCTGAGGTGGGGCCTGAGGTTCTATATTTCTGGTAAGTTCCGAAGCCAGTGTTCCTGGTTCTTGGACCACCCTTTGAGAAACGAAGCTTTGCAGCCCCATTTCTCCCAAGAGTGTTCTTTAAGGTCCTGCAAATTTTTCTGAGCAAATGGGGTTCACTGGACAAAGCAGAGTGGGGAAAGCCTGCAGCAGCATTTGCCTTGGGAGGGTCTATGGTGCCTAACAGGATCTCTAAGTTGTATAATAAAGAAATCTTATGAACTCTGTGTAATCCAGTACTCCCCACACAAATAGGGTAGTGGAACTGATCTTTGAAGAACCTTTGCAACTAGCTTCCTAGGCAAATGTGTGGATAAACCATGGTGCAGAAGGGATGTGCAGGGTTACAGCAGGCACCAGTGGCCCCACTGCTTAAGTTTAGATGCTTGTGTGGGAATCGTCTCTCCCAAGAGCCATAGATCCTTTCCTGTGTCCCTTGGCCTGGGATACACAATTTGCTCATCTGCTTTCCTGTTCCTGAAGACACATGAGACTATCTTTCTGCTTTAAAGAAAAGCGGTAGTAACTATTATTATGTTGACAGTGGTCTCCTAATCTATTTAGTACAAAGGAACTCTAATTTATCTGCTAGTGTCAGTCAAGGTCCTTTTAGTTACAAGTAACAGAAAACTCAACTCACATCAGTTTAAACAGAAAGCACACCTGGTGAAAAATCTTTAGGTGTGGCTGGATCCAGACGCTCCTACCAGTTCATCAGGACCCTTGCTTCCTCTTGCCTCTCTGCCTTCCTGTGTGTTAGCTTTGTTTTCAGATGGAGCCCCTCTGTGGTGAATCAAGGGGCTCCAGCAGTGCCAGGCTATCTGTTCCTGCTAATTCCAGCTGAGTCTTCTGTATCACTCTGCCTACATGGTGTTAGGATGCCCCCTTGAGAATCAAGGCATGGGTTTGCCGAGTCCCATGGAACTGAGAGTGCAGGAGGAGCTGCTCGCCAACATGATATGAAATGGTTTTTGCTAGAATTCAGGTCAGTGTGTAAATTCTACTGAAGTCAGGTAGAGTTACAATAAATGCTACATGAAGACATGGGTTATAGAACCTACCATGCACCTTGTTTCCAGAAAGGCTGATGAATGTAGTTTCTCCAGATTCTTTTATAGCCGCTAGTCAGAAGTTGTTCATAATATTCATGGGGGGAGTCAAACTTTGCCTTTTCACAATGAGTGAGAAAAATTGCTTAGCAAAATATTTTTTATATATCACGTCACTGTGGAAGAGTTCTCTCTCTTGGGCTGTATAGGTGAGCTAATTTCATGTCACTTTTACATGTTTATTAGAAACCGAAATGAGAAGCCTGTTGGGATAGAAAGTAACAATAGTAAGTGACAATTTACCACGATCCTACTGCGTGTCTTATGACCCATGGTGTTGTCACAGCACCCTCTGGAGCATGACCTGGTATTATCCCCATTCTGCAGATGAATCAACCCACGGCCCCCCAAAGCCAAGAAAGCTCGCTTCAATCTTGGCAGCCAAGGCATATCTGATTCCAAGGTCACGTTAGCTATACTGTATTGGCTTTCATTGCTGCCTTTGTTGTTGCTGCATACCAATCAAAAGAATGAAAAAGAAGAACTGCATTTCTTTAAAACATTTCCACATCTTTCCTATTCGAATTCCTGGAGATCTGCTCTGTCAGGAGTGTTGACTGTTGCCTGCAGGAGTGAGAGGGAACTGGGGGCAGGCCTGTGGCTGCCTGGCCCGTTAACTGGCTGCAACTCCTTATGGGTGTCTCGACTCCTCCTTGGTGTATGATTGCAGTGAGGAATCCAGTAGGATAGCAGTGACCCTGGTACCTCTACCTGCCCACTGAGTGCAGTCCTGGGGATGTCCCAGGCCTGGTGTCTCTTCCTTCACACTGGTACTGGCCAGTGAGAAGGAAGCTGCTTCTATGTACTGGATGGTGGAAAAGGTCTGACCTTCAAAGCCTGGTCCAATCCTGGGGCCTGAGAGAAGAGAGGTGTACACCCTTCCCTGGGGGCTCAATATATGCCCCCATGACCCTGTGAGGTAGAGCCTCCGTGTGGGACCCAAGGTCTCATAGCAAGAAGGAAGCTGCTGCCTCTTGGCCTGGGGCTCTCTCTGCTGGCCTGGCACCAGCTCTGTCCAGTCTTGCTGGGCAGTAGGAATCACTAAAAGTCACAGAGAAAAGTCATAAGCTGGCCCAAGGGACCAAGATGAGAAGGCTGCTGCCTTTGAGGCCTGACACCTGGCTCCAGCTAGGTCAGGTGTTAAGTGTGACAGGCAAGTGTGGGTCGACCCTAGAACTATGGGGCTGGGGATAAGGGCCTGGGATTTGGAACTGTATCTTTTAGGGTTCTCCTTCCTCCCACCTTGCCTTGGCATTGCCTGGAGAGCGATGAGAGAATGTCAGGAACACCAAACAGGGGCCGTGGAAATTTTTGGATTCCCGAGGTATCTAGGCTGTGAGGGCTCATCAGATCAGAGTGGGGGCATCTACTTAGCCC